CTCTGACACCCTGACTCTTGAATATTCTTGGTCCCCAAACTCAGAGAGTCCCAGTGGCCTGGCCAGGATCCCTTGAGCTTGACACAAAGGAATGGAAGTGCTGCTGCCATGCCCTCACTACAAGGCCTTGACTAGGGACAGCAAAGTTTTTTTCTGGACAGATCTGTCATTTCCCTTAGGAGGCATCAGCTGGTGTCTTTTACCTCAGAATCCTGTTTACTTTGCACAAATGACAGGCCAGGATGCTGCCCATTGCCTGTTTTTCTCTGTTTTCAACACACGTGTTTTCCAGGCAGGATAACAGGAACAGCAAGGGATGTCTGACACTGCAGCCTTGGTACTCCTGGGATCAGGATCCTGGGTTTTTTGCTGACAGGTCATCTGTGTTGTGGCTGTTTTCAAATGCAGGTCCTTGGCCTTGACATAAACAGAGCAACTCCTTAACTTTTCTACTGGGCATGGTTTTTTGTGTTAGCAAGGGTCCATCCTTTTAACCCTCTTTTCTGCTGCTGCTTTCACACATTTTCATTCATTCTTAAGTCCCATCTTCCTTTGCTTTGCTGTCACAGACCACTCCAACTGCTGTAGGCAGTCCTGATGCCCTTTTATTAGAATTCATAATCTCTCTAAAATATCTAATTTAATCCCCCACCCCCCCCCCCCCAGCCTTTGACAGCACACAGATGAATGCTCTGTTGAAGTGGAAATGAAGCTTGTAAATGTAACATATCATACTTGGTGAAAGAAACTCTAAATTTTGGGACACACACACTCTATCCCCTATATCTGCTGAAGCACAGACTTCTTGAAATGCCAAAATATGTGTGAAATAATGAAAACACTGAGGTGGCCAATATCAACAGCTTTAAAAATAACAAAATTATGCCTGCCAAAATAGGAATGGAAAATTGATAGTCTATATTTCCCATGACGCGGTGGAAGATTTGAACAGACTGCTCCCACTGATGTCATGAAGTTACTGTTCTAAATTTACTGTTAGCAGGTGAAAACCAAACCATTCCTGGTTTAATATCTTTTTGCTTGTTCCCAGCAATAGAAGTTATAGATTATTGCTGACAGGAGGCAAAATGCTGACTCTGCCTTAAACCTTGAAGCTGAGGTTTGCTATTGCTGACCAGTGCTGGGTACGAAGTCGAGTTAGCAGCCAGTGTTAGGTGTGCAGCTACATGACAGCAATTAGACACTTTGAAATGTAGGGCAGGACAGTGAAGTCACTAATTAGTCTTTTTGCAGGTAGTTATTAAAAGTTGATCAACTGAAAAACTGACCAGTGGGAGCTTGCATGCTCCTGGCTTTAGGGTTTCTTAGATACTCACTATTATTCAAAAGTAGAATCTTAAAACCTGTTCTTTTAATAAGCTTATTCTTCTTTCTGAAACTCTATCAATTTGTGACACTGAGGCTAAAATGTGTTTCTGATGTCAGTGACTTGCAACACAGATGCAGTTAAATGGGATAGTCTGAAACTCCAGCTGCATTATGGGGAGAAAATGATTGCAAATGCATGATGCAGTATCTTAGAGAGAAAAGAACTTTACTGATCCAGCAGTTTACCCTGTGAGTTCTACTGCAGAGGAATGTTTTCTAGGGACAGGTATTTGGACACCCGAGAGGACTGGAAGTTGCAAGGCTGGATTTATTAGAGCTGGAAATAAATCAAATTTTGCACAAGCTAGAACTTGCTTTTTTTTTTCCTAACATTGAGCTCTAATAAAAATGGAAGTTAAATGTGGTTAAGATGCCACAGAAGAATGCAGTGAGAGCTGCCACACACTGTCCTATGTATAATCTTAACGCAGAATCCTTGTTCATGATCTAGCATGCAAACATAGAGCTGTGGTCTGTGACTATTTTTGTAACCACACCCTTTTTGTCTTTTTCAGAGCTTGGACTGGACTCTGATACAGCATTCACCACGACAGTACAGAAATGCATGAAAATATTTTTTAAAAAAATTTGTTGTGGAAATTTGAGTCAGAAAAATCAGGACTATCTGTTCCTTCCTCTACCATAGAACTCCTATGTATCAACCTAATTACTCCAATCCAAATGCTCCTAATTTTCTAATGTCAAATATTTGCATAGGTACTTCTAGGTAGCTGAAACAGTGAGGACTTCAAAGCTGCAGCTGAAGTTTGCTATATGTGTCTATACATATATCCTCAGAAATGGTGGTGCCATTGATATCCAAGCTGGCTCATTTTCAATTAATTCTGGTAAACCTGCAGTTCTGTGTACATGTATATACATATAATGCAGAGATGTTTATACACATGTACATAGAATCATAGAATTGCCTGGCTAGGAAGGGACCTTAAAGACCATTTTGTTCCAACCCCCCTGCCATGGGCAGAGACACCTTTCACTAGACCAGGTTGCTCTGAACCCCACCTTAAACCTGGTCTTAAACTCTTCCAGGGATGGGGCATCCACAACTTCTCCGGGCAAACTGTTCCAGTGCCTCACCACCCTCACAGCAAAGAATTTTTTCTTAATATCTAATGTAAGCCTACTCTGTCAGTTTGAATCCATTCCCCCTTGTCCTGTCACTACATGCCATCTCCATCTGTCCTGTAGGCTCCCTTCAGGAGCTGAAAGGCCACAATTAGGTCACCCTGAAGCCTTCTCTTCTCTAGGCTGAACAATCCCAACTCTCAATCTTTCCTTGGAGGAGATGTGTTCTATCCTTCTAATTTTCTTGGTGCCTCCTCTGGACTTGCTCTAACAGATTCATGTCCTTCCTGCACGGAGGACCCCAGAGCTGGATGCTGTACACATATGTGTGTGAGCTGCAGGTTTTTCAGAATGAAGACAAGCTAGTTTGGGTACCAGTAGCATTCCTGTGGTAAGCACAATCTTCCCTGTCAGTTATAAACCAATTTCTTCATGAAAGGGACACTGGAACTTGCCAGGTAGCTGGTGAGAAATGTTTGTGCCTTAGTGTTTTCTTCAGCCTTCAGAAGTGCTGGTTACTCTGCAAGTCTTGAAGGCTTTCTCTGTCAACTGAGAAATCCCAGCTGAGAGGGAAGAACACAGCCTTATCAGAAAATTGATTAAATGTGCTTGCTTAAGACTCCCATGTTACAGTAAGATGCCCATGAAATGACCATGGAGAAATAGTTTTATTCAGTGTACTGAAACAAACAGTACCTTAGAAAAGGCATTGTAACCACTTGTGCATTACACAGTGAATATGGCAAGTACTGAATTTACTATAAAAGTATCCACCAACTAGACAAGCAGAAAGAAAAAAATATGACTTCCCCCCCTTCCCTCCCACCCCAGTGTGAACAAGGTTAAGAAGCATTTGTGCAAATGGATATATTTCTGGCTTGGAGCCAACTGGGCAGAGAAAGCAATTGCTATAGATAGAATCCCAGAAGGTGTAACAGAAGTTGTAGCAGGCTGTTGGAAACTGAAGTATGTCAAGAATGAGGTTAGCAATTAGTAATTCCAGAGACTTTATTTAAGTGGAGTCTGCTCACAGGTAGCAGACTCCACAGAATTCTAAACATGGAAGCAGTTGCTGGTGTTCTTTCTACTACTTGAGACAGCAAGTATAAACATTTCTGATTTACTAAGAGTAGGACACTTCAACACACATTTAAGGGTCCTGGCCACTTGATAGCAGCAGGCTTTAACTTCCATAGATGTAGAAGTATCTTTTCCCTGTCATTAAAACCCTCCCCTCTGAAGGAATATTACCAGAGGAACTGATCTTGATCAAATATGTATTTTATACATAGCATATTCCAATTTTTTAAATCCAAAACTAAGTTTATTTTTCCCATAAAATACTATTGGCATTAATTTTGACAACATCATCGTGTTCTCTATTCAGACAGTACATACATCTATCCTTTATTTTTTTCCATGTAAAGAAATACAGGGACAAGCTTTTGGCCAACCTGCTCTAATACAGTTATTTTGCCTTATCTGTAACTCAGCTGGGCCTGCTCAGCACAACAAACACAACTGTATGTAACAATGATGTGTTTCTGAGGAAGTAATATCTTAACCGCTCTTAAATGTTTTGAACATTTCACACATATTTTACAAAAAAAAGGGAAAGTTGGGTACAAAAAAATATATATGCCAACTAGGATTAGTGAAAGAAAATATCATTGTGGAAGTAGAGGTGTAAACCTGTGAAGCTTACAGCAGGCAAAACCAGCCATATCCCCAAACCTCAGACTTATCTGCCCCTAATAATGGTTAACAGTTTTCAGCAATGTATAATTAGGGATGAATAAAATAACTTTGAGACTGGAAACCACATTTCTCAAAGCAGCAGTTTTCATTAATTGAATCGTTATCTTTCTTGCTGCTTCTTCAGCTGAGGCATCCAGTGGTTTACTATAAAATGAACCTGTGTACAAATGCCTTCAATTAGTGGTTATTTCGAGGAGAGTTTATGTTCTGCAGAAGAGTAAATTAATATTTTCCCTTTTGAGATAATTGCATTTTCAGGCCTCTGTGAAATATGGAAAGTGATGACAATTTGGAGGTGACAACTTTTTGTGAGGTACAATTGCACAAGGTACAAGGAGAAATGACTAAGAAGCTTAAAGTGGCCTCTTTTATAATATATTCTTACAGACCTTCACACAGCACTTAAAAATGTGTGAAGCCACAACACATTATACATAAGAAGAGTCAGACACAAGCTATCATAAAGGTTTTTGGAAAGACTACAACCTAGCCTAATGAATAACAAATATGCCTAAAAATGCGAGGTACTTGTTTTAATAATAAAATACTACTTTAAAGTGGATTTTTAGGCCTTTGATCTGACTGCCACTCATCTTCTTGGGAAGAATATTCTTCTTAAGATCTAGCACCTGACTGTCAGGTAGCCTGCTATTTCATCAGTGTAAGCTCCTCAGTCTCCACAATTTGGGCTGCTAGCAATAATTTCCATAATGTTTGCAAGAGCTTAAACATAAACATAAAATAGTTTATGTTGCAAAGCACTGGATTAGGTCTCAAAAAACTGGACTTTATTCTTGTTTCTGTAGGTCACCCAGATGGGTAATCTGCAAGGTTACCACTCCATTCCTTAGTTTCTTCATCTGTAAAATGGGGATAATTTTATTCACTAGCTTTTAACAAACATTTCAAGATATACATGGTTAAGGATTAAGCAGTGTGGATTATCCCTGATGAGTAACACACAGCTGCTAACACACTGACTTATTCACTTTCATATTAGCATCTTTATTTAAACATTTGCAAAACACTCATTTTGTCAAACAGCAACTGCAAAGAGGCTTTTATCCAGCACAAGTGTAATTAGAATAGTAGAGAAGTGATGAGACTTTGAGCTCAAGACATGATAAATCTGGTATTTTAACTTCAAGTAACTGCAGTAGCAAAAAGAGTTTCCAATTCAAGTCTGCCCTCCGCTGGCTCTAGCAGAACACTGCTAATAAATTTTGGATCAATAGTGTCTTCCTGTAATGAAGAGAAGGAAATAAATTAATAGAGGCTGATACATTTATTAATTTACACCTTTATTTAGCATTTATAAAAATTTTGTAATAGTAGTTAAATTATTTGTAGTATTTTTTAAAATCCCATCTAGGCTCCCTGTCACATTCACGTTTTTCAGGATTTCAAAATCGCATCAGCGTATCATCCATACTAGAGTCACTGGAACTAAAGTACAACATGGAAGGTATCATTCTGCATGTGGCTTTAAAGAAATTTAATAGAAAAATTACAGAAAAATATTTTGCTTGATACAATTAATTACTCTAATAGATAGTGCTGTATGTATTAGTCAAGTACTAAAAGAGACCAGGATAAATTTAGTCTAGTACTCTGTCACTAGAAGCAGGCTGTCCCCTTAAAATATGAGTGGAAAAAAGAAGACCATTTATTACTGTGTTTATTTTAGAAAGAATTTTCCATCACAAATACCACACACAAATAACTCATCCCTTAACTCAGGACGACTCATTTTCCTTTCTATTTTTAAAGTAGGAAGGTAATTGGGGTGTGGGGAACTATCTTATTTATACTTACACCGATTCATCTAGAATGATTTCAACCCCAAGGTGACATTGGTGTCTGAAATACAAAATCTGTATAATTATGTGCTGGATGATGTGATTGAGCTGAAAAGCCTCTGGTTCATATACCTTGTCATCTTCATGCTTCGTTACACATAACAGCATTTAATCTCTTGTGACTGCTACCTACATCTAAAATAAAGGAGTACAATATTGTTTATTCAGATGTGTACTTAATATACACTTGAAAAAAAGGGAAAATATAAAAGTATTACAGAAATGGCATTTTATTTGGACCATTTAAATGCTTGGAAATCAGTGTCAAGTTCACAGCTTGTGCCAAATGTGCCTAATAGACTTTACAAAGCAGAACATAAGGAATTTTCACAAGTTCCTTGAATGTCCTCTGCATCTGCTAAAATTCTTGCTGAAATGGTTCTCATTCAAAAATTAAACCTTTAGGAGTCCATTAACATTTTACAAGAAGCAGTGAAAGGCACACAACTAATCTGCCCTTATGGGTTTGGGGTTGGCTTTTTTGTTTGTTTGCTGATTTTTTGTTTGTTTTGCTTTTTTGCTCTAGGCAGGAAGGTATGGAAAAGCCACTGAAATCTGATTAATCACTGTAATGCCTACTGCAACACATCACCCTCTTAAACTGGACTCCAGCATCTAAAATGACTAAAATGCAGTTTTTCTGCACTTCTAGGAGAATAAAGTTTGAGATTTTTAATAATCCTAACGGAAAAGCAGCAGCAGTGATTGAAATACTGATAGGTATTTCCCTGAAAGGTCATTTGTTTTCTATGCAACAGTGGAAAGAGTCTTAGATGAACTTAAAGGCACGTGAATCAGGCTGACAGTATATAGAGAAGACACACTAGTGTGTCTACTTGACAATGTTTTGAAATTAGTAAAATCTAAAAACATTTGTCTGGCCTAAATATGGCATATGACTCCACTAAAATAGACGAAGTACGGACAGAAATTGTGTATGAAAGGCCAAAGGGAAGTATTTTAAGAGACTAAATTTTATTTTAGAAGAATAGTAAAAACTTCATTAACCATGAGTTGCGCTTCATTTAATCTTGATAGCACCAGATGAGACTTGGAAAGAAAGAAAAGAGCTTTTTTCTTGATCGTCTTCTGGTATCCAGGAAAGGCCTTAATTACTCTTCATTATGATACTAAATTACTGATTCTAATCTTCCATGTGCTGAAGATCTCAAAGAATTTGCAGTGAAATCTGAACTACTGAAATGCAAAAACTAAAGACAGACATAAACGTTGATACTTTCACCTGTGCTGTGGAATTTCCATATTCTGAAAGGCAGCTCTTGCTGAGGGTCACCTTCAGCAGGAAGCTCAGGCAGCACACGCTGATGGGACTCTGCCAGGGGATGTGTGAACTGCTCCTCACCTTGCTGGTCATGGTTAAGCCCTGTTGAATTAGGAATATGACAATAGGTTTGTCTTTAAATTTCTGAAGTCAATTCACCCAAAGTGAACAATGAAGATAAATTAATACCTATGTTCAGTTTAAATAATTAGTTCAACATTTAGATTAACTACAAATTATTCCATTTGTTCATGTACATGACACATTTCCTTTGTTGACTGGGCAGTCTTATTCAAGATCTGAAAATACACATATTTTTACCTTTCCTTTTATGATCTGGACTCTGTAATTTGCATTACAAGTTGTTAAAACTATAATAGTGACAGCACTAAAACCCAGATTGTGCTATGCTTTTAATTCTATTGAAATTAAAGCTGTACCGAATTAAACTTTAATTTATACTTTAAAAAAAAATCTTAGTTTCAAAAAACACCCTCCTCGTTTTGGAAGTTACAACAAAAAATTATACTAAAGGATATATACAGTAACTGAAATTATATGTCATTTGTTTTACTGGGACTTAAGACAAAACCCACAACAAACTGGCAAAAAAACCACACCAACCTGTTTCAGGTCTATCTAGCATATTTGAACTCAGAGTTCTTCTTTTTGCTTTACTACATGTTTTGTCTTAGCTTATAACCAGAGTTAATTAGTAGCTTGTTGTATATCTTTAGCTTGCAAAATCTGAGAGTGCATATGAAAGCTCTATTGTAAATCAGTGAAGTGAGTGCTGTGCATCAATCAGTTACATTTCAAATATTTCACTGTCAGAAAAAGTTGTTTAGTTGTTTCAGCAGCACTTTTTTGTAGTTGGATGCTAAGAAAGACTATTAACACTCATTGAAGAGAGAAAGCAGAATATGACATAGTTAGAATTATTATTTTTCAAATGCTGCAATTCTATGTCCTGTATCAAAGAGAAATATTTCATTTTTCTCTGCAAAGACTCATGTTATCAGTTTCATGGTTGTCCCACCACTTTACAATTTACTAAGGTTGGAATTGGTATAAAGGCAAGTATACAAGCAAAGACTTTGGAAAATCAGAATATATTATTTGTTTTACTCACCTTGTTTAAATCATTTAGGCAAAAATTTGCCTAAAATAAGCATATTTTAAGTCCTTTAAAATCTTTATATATATGTGCTGTTAAAACAACGTATTCTTCAACAACAAAAATCTATTTGAGATCTATCTACAAAGAAAAGGTTTACATTAATAAAATATCTTTAGAGGAAAATTCTCCTAGAGTTACGAAATCCTTTGTTGCTCAGCTGCTTAAAAAAGAGCTTAATTAAAAAACAATTAAAACAATATGGGTATTAGTTTTGGCCTCAGAAAATCCTTTTATCCATCAGATTTTTGCGTATCACCAAATGTATATAAGGAATCAGATTATTGTTTTCGTCCTCGGCCAAATATTGCAATTATAAAAACATGCATTGAAGAATTGTTGCGCTTTTAGAAAAACGATCTATGGCAAAAGGTAGCAGCATGTCTAAGTGTAACATTTAATTTTCACTATTAAGCAAAGATGTGCAGAATGGGAAAGTCACGCTTCAAACAGCACTACAGTTGTGAAGCAGGTAATATTCAAATTTTAAACACATCACCAGCTCTTCTCAGAGGTCTCTAAAAGCTTTTGATGAAGTTCTTTCAATGCTGTCTCACCTCAGACTGCTGTTTCTCCTTCCCTGGCCTCAGGAGCTGTAATGAAAAACAATGAGATTGTATCTCCATGTCACCACTCAGTTTTTGTTTGTTTTTAAGTAAATAAATTGTACAATTACTGTATTAAATATACAAAATTGCTACACTTTGCTGTTTGTTCCTGCCACTCTGATCATTCTACTAATTGTCAGCAATTTTCAGCCAGCAGCCAAGCCCCACACAGCCACCCGCTCACTATGCCTCACAAACACTGGGACCAGAGAGAAAATCAGAAAGGTGAAAGCCAGAAAACTCATGGGTTGAGATAAAGACAATTTAACAGGGAAAGCTAAAGCTGTGCCCACAAGCAAAGCAAAACAAGGAATTAATTCATTGCTGCCCATGGGCAGGCAGGAGTTCAGCCATCCCCAGGAGAGCAGGGCCCCATCACATCTAACAGTTACTTGGGAAGACAAACACCATCACCCCAAATGTCTCTCCTTCCTCCTTCTCCCCATTTTATAAACAGAGCACCATGTCCCATAGTCTGGAACATTCCTTTGGTCTGTTGGGGTCACCTGTCCTGGCTGTGTCTCCCCCCAGCCTCTCATGTACCCGCAGCCTCACCAGCATGGCAGAACAAAAGGCAGAAAAGGCTCTGTGTAAGCCCTGCTCAGGAGTAACAAAACTTCTCTATATTATCAACCCTGTGTTCAGCACAAGTAGAAAATATAGCCCCATACCAGCCACCATGAAGAAAATTAACTCCACCCCAGCTGAAACCCGCACAGTGACTGGCAGTATCACTTTTCCTGGAAATATCCCATATCAGGCAGTGACCACAGTATATCCAACAAGTACCATACAGAAATTCATATGAAGAAGATTCTAATTTGGACAGAAATTTTTATATGCATTACAGCTCTGCATTTCAAGCATGTTTGGAAACTACGCCAAATGTAAGAATTCAAATATACTCACCCCAAACTAATCTAGGTCTCAATAACATTCAGAAGACATTTTAGAATTCTGGTTACTTTGCACATGACCTAATTGGCCAGCCTAAGTCTTTGCTCTGTTTTGACCATAGTACTTTCCACTTCCCTTTGTCTCTGTCCTTTCTTGTCTTTGTGAAATGAAAAGGAACATTTTCCAGATCAGTGGTACTGCAGAGAAGCAGGGATTTATTAGACTAAATGAACAGGAATACTAAAATGGAATAGAATTATTAGGGCACAATAAAAATAGGAAGTTTAGTCATAACAATGAAGTGAAATAGAAGGTCTAGTCATAATATACTACTGTTTCTACTGACATCATAAAGATTCAGCCTGCAGTAGAAATCTATTGAAGAGCTCTTCCTTATGTTCTTATGCTATTTATACTGATTTATGGTATAGTCCTGAAGTAAGAAACATCCACCATAGCATCTTTGAAATCTAAGTTCTCCTAAATAGGCTCAAACTCAAACTTTGTTCCCAAGTAGATGAATTTAATGCAGCTTTTTGTCAGTAAATTGGGGAAATCTCAAAAGTGAGATTGCTAAGTGCACAATGGAGGCTTGCAGGGATTTCCTACAAAGTTTACAGTGATTTTCACAGACTTCAATGTGTCACTGCACTTTGTCTCCTTCATCAGCACCTGAGTTACACGTACTGTTGCATGGCTTTACTTTGTGGTTTGCTGAGATAAATCTTTTAGAGGTCTGGAATTCTTTAACCTGAGGTACACTTAGCACTCAAAAAGATGAGTTAAAGCCACCTGATCAAGTGATATTATTTCATGAATCTGACACTTCAGCAATTCAGTCATGTCTATAAGAATCTCAATTCTCTCATTTACCAATAAAAATGGAAATATTTGGCCATTTTACTATGAGTATTAGCGATATTTGCTGTGAAAACACTTGCGGAAATATTGCTAATTGAGTCAATAAAACAATAGGGATTCATATTCTTGTTGTCCCAGTTGAAACCTCTGCAATTTTGTTTCTGATTTTATTGTTATTGCTGATCACATGAAGCTACAAGGCACAAGAACTTCAAAGAGATTTATTTTTTTTGTAACAAAAGCCTTTCAACATCTATGGTATCACTAATTTTCTTTTGTCACTCCAGCAATTGGGGCTCTTATTCTCCTTAGTTAATGGATACAGCATTCCAAGCAGTTTTGTCTTCATTATCAGCCACAAGAAAAAAAATTAAATAAAATCAAAATCCTTCATAGGAGTGTAACCACAATAACTTACAAACATGAATACTCATAGCACACCCATAAAATCCTACTTCCATCTTCTCCAGGCAGAGTCACCTCCATCTTACACTATCCATTTCTTTGGGTATGAGGTTTTCTCCCTTCAAATCAGTTCATTGTTTCATGCCCCATCATAGGCATATTTGCTTTTAGAGGCTAATTGCCAATATTTATGTTACTAGTGCTGTCCCATGAAATTGCAGGGAGGATGACTGCTGCTCTCCTTCCCCCTTTGTCTGAGTCAGCAGATCACCAAAGGACTGCTGAGCTCTTACATCCTCTAACATCCTAGGTGACACAGGAGCCAAACAAAGGCATGGAAAACTTCTGGAGTCAGCACAACCATTTATTGGTTTTTGTTGTTCTTGTGGAGGTTTTGTGGGTTTGTTGGTCGGTTGGCTGGCTAGTTGAGGTCTTTCAGTGCAAAAATGATATGTTGGACAGTTTGAGACTATGGATGTGTGTTATGATGAAATAAGTGCTCTTCTCCAGTGACAATTCTTGGTTTACACACATCCTTTCACAGCTTCAGTATGTAAGGCTATGTATCTCAAGATCTCAAGCAGTAACTATACAGAATCAACACTGGTTTATCTGCATACCAACACACACCCTTGTGCTCTTCTAGCACTGATTTTGTTTGTGAGAAAAATGGCAAGTAATACTAACTTACTTGCTAATAATTTCCTGGCTTCTGTAGTTAAATTAATGAAATAACTTGCAAGCTTTTAGTCAAATAGGCAGACATGAGAAATGAAGGCTAACATGTTTCTGTGCTCTGAAAATTACTCCTTGTACTTCCCTTCACTCCTTGACTCAATGTGCGAAGGGAAGAAGAGAAGATCAGGTACATGTGGCACACTTTGGTGAGTATCCTTTCTCAAGAACACCCACAATAACATTATATGCACTGTGTCACATGTGATACTGTTAAACCAATCCTCAAAGGAGACAGAGCAACTGTTCAACCCTTCCTATCAGGTGATCTGTACATTTGACCTTCTGAATCCCACTTGCACTAAATGTACAGGAAGGAAAAATGCCTTTTGAATTTCATTCCACCACAGTGGGTCATATTTTATTGCCATATTTTGTAAGAGATTATTAACAAGCTGTGTGCTGTAATGAACAGTTGGTTTTGTATGTTTAGAAAGAACAAGTTGTAACCACAGTGTGAAAACAGATCTTACTTGGCCTCATCTACAAAGGAAAACCAATTTAATACAAACTGCTCAAAAATAGGTTCCTGCAAGTCAAAAAAACAGGTTCAATGGTTTGAGTTCTCTTTTGAGTGTGATAATCCATTACTGATTAATGAATGTGCCTCTTGCACTACACTGGCTCACAAGAAGAGTAAATTTGTAATTTTCAATGTTGGTACAATTCTACTTACACGTGCTAATTTGAAACGGTTGACAAGTGATATACCAAAAAAAATTGAAATCCAACACAAACCTATGGATAGAAAGACTTGTTCTCTCAATTTTCAGATAGAATTCCCAGAATTTCCCCCCCCAAAGGCATACTCTTTTGGGAAAGGTGTAGACTAATAGTCGTGTTAACTTCATATTGATGTTCATGAATACATAGACAGCACTGGTGCCTAACCTTTCCATAGGGATAAGCTATTCAGTTTATAAAGCAGACACTCACAAAATCTATGCCTCTACTTTATTTGTCAGATATCATTAAATGTGTGTCAGTCCTATGACTAGAAATGCTGGTGTATCCCATGTTTAAAGTGTATGGAAGCACAGGGCACTGGGACTGGTGTAGAGCAGGAAAGGCTGTGCATTCTGTAACATGACTGCACATTTGTGCCATGACCTCACCAAAATATTCTTTCATAATTCACAGACCATGGCAAAAGCAAGCCATGAGCTGCCAGAACGTCTCATGTTGCCTGCAGTTTGCTACCTGCCTGTACCTGGAGAGTAAGTAGTGAGCTAAAAGCTCCTGTTTTTATCATCTTGAAAGGGCAGAACAGGGATTCATACACTGGACAGGCATGCATACACTGGAAGAGTAAATGGTATATCTGAATAAGTAAGATTTATTATATCCCTGGATTCTTTCTTGTCTCTAAAAAGCACTGACTTGCTGTTTTTCTTAACGTGACAAGATGGCTACAGAAGTTCAAGTAACTGCTGTAAGCAAACCAATATGTAACATGCAGAGCTTTGCTATAGGTAGCAGACATGATACAGCCTGATGGTGTTAACTGCTGCAGATGCATTTAGTAATAGCAGAACCTGAAGACCTGCATCTGGCTTGGATCTAGCATTACAGCAAAAGGCAGGAAGCTACCTCAGAAAGGATGAAAACATGGTAAAATCATGATATAAATGATTGATTCAAAGGCATAGACACTACACAGCAAGATGTCATGTAAGTTGTGTCAAATAAAGAGTAGCTTGGTGGTTAGGGCACTGCAAGGACAAAGGCCACTCATTTATTAGTTAAAAAACAAAATGCCTCAGTGCCTATCTGGGCTCTGAGGTTTTTAAGGACAACAAAGTCCGAGTGCTGTACTGCCAGTTTTTAGCTATCAGGTCTCTCCCCATATTTCTAGTCAAGTTTTCACTCCCTCAACTCTTTGTTTCCATGGACTGGACACATCACACAGCTGGTATTCTGAGCTGGAAAGGACCCACAAGGGTCATCGAAGTCCATCTCCTGGCCCTGCACAGCACATGCCAAGATTAATACCATGTGCCTGAGAGCATTGTCCAAACACTTCTTGAGCTCTGTCAGGTTGGTGCTGTGACCACCTCCCTGGGGAACCTGTTCCAGCGCCCAACCACCCCCCTGGGTGAATAATTTTTTCATATTATTTTCCATTTAATATCAAGCCTAAACCTTCCTTGACACAGCGTCATGGAGCCGCATTTCCAGTTTCCTCCAGGAACACTTTTCCTTATCACTCCATCTCTACCTTTCACTTACCAAAGGCACTTCCTACCCTGCAGAGGCGGCGTGTGAGCAACACCTCCAGAGCTCCGGGGAAGAACAAGCACAGGAGTGCGGCAGGAGCCAAGGCGGGCAGGGAAACCCACAGCGCTCGCAGCCCCCGCGCCCCCCCACAGCCGCCAGCCCCGCTGGGCCCAACCCGATCCCGCGGCCGATCCCTCAGCCTGCGGCTCTGGAAGGCGGGCGGGACAAGCCCGCCGGGGTCGTAGCAGGCAGAGAACACCCGGCGGACAGAGGGCACCCCGGCGGACGGAGGGCACCCCGGCGCCGCCATTTCCTCGGCCGCCCGAGGTCCAGCCCCGCTCCCCGCCCCGCAGCCGAGCGATGGGTCCCGCCCAGCGCACGGCGCTGTTACGAGAGCGGCTGCGCTCCTCCTCCTTCTCCTCCTCTTCCTCCTCCTCCTCTCTGCCCCGCCGCCGGGATGCCGAAGCTTAGCAAGGAGGCCAAGCAGCGGCTACAGCAGCTCTTCAAGGGCGGCCAGTTCGCCATCCGCTGGGGCTTCATCCCCGTAGTGCTCTATCTCGGTCAGTGCCGGGCGGGGGACGCGCGGGGGCCCTCGGTGGCCATTGCCGAGGCCGGGTCTGGGGCGGCCGGCTCCGATGGCCGCTCTCCGCCCCCCGGCCCGTCCGAACGCCGCCGGGGAGCGGCGGGGCCGAGGGAAGGGCCCGGGCGGGGGGAGGCAGGGCCGCCTCGCCGCGCTGCCCCCAACGCCCGCGGCCATGGCCGCGCATGTGCGGAGGGGAGGGCGGGGTTGCCCTTGGCAGAACTGAGACGGGGAGGCTTTTTGTTATAGTTGGGTTTTTGTTTGTATGTTTGTATGGTTTTTGTTTGTTTTCTCCCCCTTTTTTTGTAAAGAAGAAGTATGTGATCTTCCCACTCTACTCGGCCCTAGCGAGGCCACATCTGGAGTGCTGCGTCGAGTTCTGGGCTCCTCAGTACAGTAAGGACGAGGAGCTGCTGGAGAGGGTCCAGCACAAGGCCACGAAAATGATTAAGGGACTGAAGCATCTCTCTTATGAGCAGAGATTGCGGGTGCTGGGCCTGTTTAGTCCAGAGAAGAGAAGACTGGGAGGGGATCTCATTAAAGTATACAAATATCTTAAAGGCAAGGGCCTAAGAGATTGGAGCAAGACTCTTTAGTAGTGCCCAGGTACGGGATGGGGAGTAACGGCCATAAACTATAACACAAGAAGTTTCACCTCAACATGAGGAAGAAATTCTTCACGTTGAGGGTGGCAAAGCCCGGAATAGGCTGCACGGGGAGGTCGTTGAGTCTCCCTCTGTGAGGACATTCAAAACCCAGCTGGACACATTCCTGTGTCACTTGCTCTAGGTGACCCTGCCTTGTCAGGGAGTGGACTAGGGGATCTCTAGAGGTCCCTTCCAACCCTGACAATCCTGTGGTTCTGTAATAAAGAGCTTTTTGCCCCTTTTTCTCCCTGGAGGCTAATCCTGTGTGAGGGCCCCTCTGGGGAGTGGGCAGAGCACCGAAGCAGCCGAACAGCAAATGGGGCTGTGATTTAACCCTGTGTCACTGACTGCCTGCTATAATAGTCAGGGCTGTGCTTTGTGCTCCTGGGAGTCTGGTGAGCAGAACGCTGGGAGCTCTGCTTCATGGCACTGGGGACATTGCCAGCCTCTGGCTGAGATTAAATTTCCAGCAACAGGCATACAGGTTACAGTCTCTCTCCCACCAAACATGGTGTGCCTCCTGTTTCCAAGCTGCAGTGGAATGTTAAGGGGATGCCTTGCTGTTGTGCCTGGTACCCAGGATATATTTTGCTTGCTCCTGTCATCAGGCTAGCCAGACATCACTACCACACAGTATTTCTCCTGCTGAGTTAGAGCTGTATGCCATCAGCTGTCCTTGTTTAAGAGAGGCTGGACACTTTATTCACTTCTTTTATCACAGAGGGGCCCAGGAAGGCTGATCCCTGCAATTCATTTGGCTTACTTTCTGCCCAAACTGTTGGACTTTTTGGGAAAAGCACCTAAAGCAGACAGGCATCTTTGCATTGAATGCAAACATGAAGGAGGGCTGGGAGCTTGATGGGTTTCCAGTCAAATCTGAGAGGTTGTTTTGGTTAATTGAAGGGAGTGCAGTGCCTGGTTTGAAGGGCTTTGATTCTTTATAGATAACAACCAGGAAAACATTGTTCTCGTCAGCTGTTACAGAAGTGCTTTAGCAACAACTGCAAGCAAAAGAAGTCACTTCAAAAACTATGGAAAAAATAATTAGCATTATTAGGTCTGCTTTTCCATTGCATTTCCATTTTTAGTTCATAAATTCTTTTAAATTAATAAGTTCTGGGTGGGAATTTCAACAGTGTTTTGTGACCTAATTTGTTGTTGAATTTTTGTTTAGATTTTACTTCCCTGACAGTGTCTGTGGATGTTGGAAAGATGGTCTTTCTTCTTCGTGACATCAGAGTGTCACATTAGTGACACTAATAAGTTACATTGGTGACATTAAATAAGTTACTTCAAATTGTATAAAGCCACCTTACTGTACTTACAGTTGCACTAGCATCAGGGTGTGTAGTATATTTTTTGTTATGTAGCAGTGAGAAATTTAAGTTGTAGTAGTTTAGGTTCATATCTCCAGAAAATAAGTGTGCTGTACCACATCTACATTGCCTTCTTATAAATTTATCTGCAGTAATGAAAGTATAAGCAGATGGGAAGGGGAAGAGCAGGTGCCACCTTGATTGCCATAGACATTTGGAGGTGGCATGTACCCCAAGTCTGCAGGATTGGAAGAACCTCTTCTCTACTAGGATTACTTTTGAATTTGGGAGGGAAGGTGTGACCCCATATGTATCAAATACATGCTGAACTAAAAATAGGCAAGGAAATGGTCAGCAAATCTGAGCCTGTAGCTTTCTCTGTAAGGCTTTCTAGCTCAGGGCATGTACGAGGAGTCCAGTATGAGAATGTATTGGTCATTGGTGGGGTTTTGTTGTATTTTTTTAGACTTTCTTTAAAGTGGCTGCCCTGGTTTTAAGTCAGTAAATTAGACCAATGCAGTTTTGTTAAACCTGGTTTGCTTATTTAAAAATACTGGGGGTGAGGGAAGGAGGCAGAAACATTCACACACAGTGTGGCTGCAATTCATGAATTTTTAAGCTGTGCTGCTGGACAGTATGGCAGCCAAAGAACTTGGGTCAGGATGTCTAATAGTCTCAAATCATTCAATGTTATCTTCAAAGAGCTTTTCCACTGCCTGTGAAATTAATGGAAGTTTTTCTATTAACCTTTGTGGCCTGTGTTTCAGGCAACATGACATTAATTATTTCTTTTCTGTAAACGAGGGAAATAATACAATTTTCATGAAACCTTCACTTCTAGATATCCAGTGTAGTATTGAACAGTGCCTGAATTGCATGATTCTGTTTCAAGACTTTTATATTTCAGTCCAGAGAACAAAGATACTTCATATACCTAACCTTCAGCTGCTTCCCTAGTATACATATACTTTGGTCACTTGGTATATTTGAGTCATTGGGGCCTGGGGATGAACTCTTTGTCGTTAACTTTCATTTAATTTTCCTGGGTATTAGAGAACAGCTTGTTGGTTTGCAAGCTTTAGTAGTATGTAACTTTCTCCAAAAAGTGCCAATCAGAATAGAAGATTTGAGGTTGAATTGATTTAACATTTAGCATTCTGTCATGCTAAATTGAGTGAACTGTTACTGAAATACTGCTTTTAAGGTGTGTGTCAGATGTCATTAGAGAATTGCCTGTTAGGCTTCAAGGTGCTTACTCTACACCAGTTTTAGGTGTCTTTGTTGGTAGAGCCCTGCTAGGTTGCTTTCTGGACAACATTTAACATCTGTGGGTTTGTGTGTGTAAAAGTATGAATGTCTTGATCTCTGGCATAGATGACTTCCTTCATCTCACACAGCTAGTTGATCCTGAATTTTAGGTCCGGTAAAGATGCAGGTAAGACTTCTTAAAAAAAGAAAAGTGTATGCTGGTATTTATTTTCTTTGCTTTCTAACCCTTGTAAGAATGTGCAGTTTTTATTCAGGCTAGTACACAGCTTCATGAATCACAATTCTATGTTCAGTAGCTTTCTTTTTTATTGCTATTTAACAGGCTGGAATAACTTCATAGAGATTTAACTATGTAGGAATCTGTACATACTTGTTTATTTTTATACATGTATGTAATGTATGTTTCACTTCAGGTTTTAAAAGAGGTGCAGATCCTGGAATGCCTGAGCCAACTATCTGGAGGTATGTATTGATTCCAAATGTATGTACAAACCCAGTGAAGATAGTTACTGGTTTGGGTATTATTTCTGGCCAGCAACAGTTGTGAATGATGCTTCCATCCCTTGTTTTTAATTGTTGTGGTTCTTGTTTATTTGGAAATTCACATGACAAGTCAGCAAAGTTCTAGTTCTTGGGAAGACCTTTTATCTTAACCTTGCATAGTTTTTAAGATACGGAACTTCCTGTGTCTTTTCCATGACAGCTGCCCTTCTAATCTGTTGTAGAGCTAGTTTGTGTAAGTTTCTGCACTGAACAATAACTTCTCAGATTTCTAGCACAAATTGAAACCAAAATCCAATCTCCTTCTGCCTTGGCAAATGAGGGAATAACACAGCATAATAAAAGGTTCATGAAATAAAGGGCTGTATCCTTCAGTATTAGTCACTGATGTGAAGCAAAGTGCATTTGGCTCACGTTGCTTCTTTCTTGTGGGACTCTTTGTTGCGCTGCAATGTTATGGCATTAGTAGTGCTTATTAGTGACGTTTAAGTTTTATTGAAGGGCTTCCTTGGGTCTAAGTAATTAAAGTTTTGGAGGAAGAGTGGTTCTCCTGGTTTTCAAGAAATGCCTTTCAATACTGTGCAGGACCAGATATTCCTAAAACATATAATTGATGGACTGTATTGTTTGCAAAGTCATAGACTAACTCTTCTTGATTTACATAGTTACAGTATATAGAAATCCCATTTTTAGGATTCAGTGATTCAGTAGAAACAATAGAAAATATGGGGAAAAAAGTAGTAAGATCATATTACAATTTCAATGGAATCTACTGTTGTCTTAATAACCAAGTTGCTGCAATTGTTTGCTTGCTGACAGTGTTTCTATGTTTAGCTTCACTGTTGGTTTGAGACTTCTTTTTTTGGTGTGCATCTGTACAGTGTAAAAGATGTGTTTTGTACCAGAATATATATACATAGATACAATGAACAGATGTTTTGTCTAATCTGAGGCTTACAGATGCT